TACAAATACAGTTTATTTGGCACAAAAAAAATTATTTGGTACAAATACAGTAAATAAACAGTATTTGTTCCAAAAAATGTATTTGTAACAAAAGTTATTTGGTACAAATACAGTTTATTTAGTACCAATAAAAATTATTTAGCACAAATAAGAATTAATTGGTACAAATAAGTATTATTTGTCACAAATAAGAATTACTTGGTACTAATAAATATTATTTGGTACAAATAAGTATTATTTAGTACAAATAAGTATTATTTGGTACAAATGAGTATTATTAAGTACAAATAAGTATTATTTGGTACAAATAAGTATTATTTAGTACAAATAAGTATTATTTGGTACAAATGGGTATTATTTGTCCCAAATAAAAATTATTTGATGCAAATAAAAACTATTTAGCACAAATAAGAATTAATTGGTACAAATAAGTATTATTTGGTACAAATAGGTATTATTTGGCAGAAATAAAAATTATTTGATGCAAATACAAATTATTTAGCAGAAATAAAAATTATTTGTTTCTAAATTAATACATATTATATATTTATTAAATAATCGATTATTATTGAATCAAATAAAAATTTATTTTCAGTATATGATAAGTATCCTGTTGATAATAATTTGAATTTAATTTTCTTAATATATGTATTGTATATAGTCAGTGTAGTTAGTTAATGAAACCTAATAAGTTTGTTAATTAAATCTTGTATTCAGATTACCGAGAGCACGTTGTTTGAGATTATATATATATATATATATCAGGGATGTGTCCGGAAATGCCATTTTTGTTCTGTTCCGTGCCAGTGCCACGGAACAAAAATATTTACATATTTAGTTCCGTGCCAAGGCACGGAACAAAAATGGTTGTGTATTCAGTTCCGTGCCGAGGCACGAAATGAAAATGTATATATATTTAGTTCCGTGCCAAGGCATGGAACGAAAATAGTTGTATATTCAGTTCTGTGCCGTGGCACGAAACGAAAATGGTTGAATATTTAGTTCCGTGCCAAGGCATGGAACGAAAGTAGTTACATATTTAGTTTCGTGCCGAGGCACGAAACAAAAATGGTTATATATTTAGTTCTGTGCCAAGGCATGGAACGAAAATAGTTGTATATTTAATTCCGTGCCAAGGTACAAAACAAAAATTTACAGGTATTTATTTTCGTGCTATAAGTACAGAATAAAATTAATTATTTAGGAATATTATTCCGTTCCAAATACGTAAACAACAATAAATGAGAACAGATTGTCGGGCCTGTTTACATTAAGTGTCCTTGCACTCAAGGATATTATCTCTCAAATTCGTTATATGTCCAACATTAGAAATGAAAAGAGACAAGAAAATGTTTTTATTCTAAATAATATGTACTTAGTCTCTTATTATAAAAAAATCAAACCACAGCTTTATGAGTTACAAGCGTAATACTTTTTAATAAAATTGATAAAATCAATTACTCGACTACAATAAAATGTATCATATAAAGGGTGGTATTATTAATAAGGGGCTCTCCATAAAATAAGTCAACAATATTTTATTCTTTTTATAACCCCCGGCCCCCCTCGTTATCAATAGGATTACTTTTTCTAAACAGTAATGTGCTGTGGGAACAGTTACTTTTTTTAACGAGTAACGCGTTACCGTTATTTTTTCTATGCAGTAACATACAATCTTTACTGTAACTATTTTTAAAAAGTGACGCGTTACCGTTACTTTTTGTAAAAAGTATCGCTAATCGTGACCAATACATTTTTTAAAAAATAATTCGTTAACATTCTTTTTTTAAACAGTAACGCGTAATCGTTACCGATAATGTTTCTAAAAATTATCGCGTTACATTTTCTAAACAGTAATGTGCTATGGGAACAGTTACTTTTTTAAAAGAGTAACGCGTTACCGTTACTTTTTATATTTTCTTTTACTTTTTGAAAAATTTTCGAAATTTCAGTTTCTTCAATGTAGACCTATTTTCAATGACTGATAACTCGAAAAAAATGGATTTTTTCAATTTTTTTAAGAGAAGAAAAGTTTCAGTTTTTATTAAAAAAATAACAATTTTTTTTAAACAAATAAAGTTTTTTTTAATTTGGCTATGATATTTTTTTAATTTTTTTTAAACATACCTGGAAATACTAAGAAAATTTTGAAAAAAAAAATTTAGAGTGGGCCGATAAGTTTTATTGGTTTAAGTAAACGTTTAAACACCGCGCGCAGCATTTTGCGCATTTTTAAAAATTAAAAAAAATTGTAAAATTGTTAAAAAATTTTTGTTAACATTATTGAAAAGTAAAAGAAAAACTGAAACTTTTCTTCTCTTATCAAAAATTTAAAAAATCCATTTTTTTCGAGTTATCAGTCATTGAAAAAAATTTTCAATTGTTGATAACTTATGAACAATTAACTTTCGAAAAAAATTGGTTAGAGAAAAAATGTTCCTTATTATATGCAGAATTAGGAAAAAAATATTAAAAATTTTTTTTAAATAATTTTGTTTTTCTCATTTTGACCTCATGTATTTGTCGTAAAAATATATAAGATCAAAATGGGAGAAAAACAAAATTATTTTTAAAAAATTTTAAATATTTTTTCCTAGTTCTACACATAATAAGGAACATTTTTTCTTTAAACAAATTTTTTCAAAACTTAATTGTTCATAAGTTAGAAACAATTGAAAAAAATGGGCCATTTTTTTAAATAAATGGTCGAGTAAATGGTCATATCTTTTTCAAAAATCATCGTACACAAATTTTCAAAAAAGCGTTTAAAAGGTGATAAAATAAGCTTTCAAATGCCGTATCGAGAATTAAATTCTGATCATTTCTTCATAACCAAGATCAATTTGAAATTTAAAAAAAAAATGAAAATTTTTTTTGTTATTTTAAACAATTAAACAATGCATTTTTTTTATTTTCTTTTTTGTATCGTTAAAGTCAAAGATATAAGCTTTAAGATGAATATTTGAGGAAGGTTACATCTTTTTTAGAATTAAAGATACAAAACTTTTTGTAAAGCCCTAATATGCTGTAAGGTGGGTAAATATTATTGAGCGGCAGTGTATATATGTATAGTAAATAAATAAAATAAATAAGTCGCATACAATAAAAATTGTTTATCAACAAGTTGACTGTCTATTAAATGTTAAATAAGATTTCTGAGAAATTTAATTAAAATAAAATAAATATAGACTGAATATATACAGGGTGTATCATAACCGGGTGCTATCATGAAAACATGTAATCATAAAATATTCTTTGAGTTTTTACTCAATTAATATTCCCTAACAGCATTCGGATATTCAAGAAATCCTACGAACGATCTAGGGATATCCGGTAATTAGGATATCCATAGATATCCTGAGGACATCGTAGAGATATCCGGCTACGGCTAGGACATTTTGCAAAATTATTCGGCATATTGAATCCGCCATTTTGAATTTTGAAAACTGATATCGGATTTGTAATCAGTAACCCAAATAACCCCTGAGTAACGAGTTTCATGTAAATACAATAATTTTTTTAAAAAATCGTCTGCCATATTGGATTCGCCATTATGAATTTTTAAAAACGGATATCAGATTCGTAATCAGCGACCCAAAAAACCCCTAAGTAATAAGTTTCATGTAAATCCGATAATTTTTTTTTAAAATTCGTCTGCCATATTGGATACGCCATTTTGAATTTTTAAAAAACTGATATTGGTTTCTTAATTAGCGACCCCAAAAACCCTTACGGGTACAATGATTTATAAACTTTGTTGAGTAAAAAAATATACATATATCTGAAAGGGTACAATATTCATTTATGATGTTAATATTCATATATTAAAATTTATAGAGTATTTTTATTTAATCTTAATAATGAAATAAACTATAGAATTAGATAAATATTCATTTCTCGGAATTTATGAGATTTAAATGTTTGTATCATGTTGAATAGAGGGTTTAGAATCAAAACAAAATCCGAGTCTAATTAGTAACGTGTCAGGACACGTAAATGTATTACTATATATTTCTGTTTTTGAGCTTGGAACGAAATAAAATTTCTACTTATTTTTGTTTCTTTCCACAGCACAAAATATAGTAACCTCTTATTTTTGTTTTGTTCCTTGGCACAAATTATAATTACCACTTATTTTGGATTCGTACCTCGGCACGAAATATAATTACCTCGTATTTTTGTTCCGTTCCTCGGCACAAAATAAAATTGCCTCTTATTTTTGTTTCGTGCCGGGACACAAAACAAATTTCTTAAGTAATTCAGTTTCATGCCTCTGGCACGGAACGGAACAAAATTAAAATTGATTTTAGTTCCGTTTCCGGACACATCCCTGATATATATATATATATATATATATATATATATATATATATATACGTTGGAAATTTGTTCCTCTAGAATTATTTGATGTGTATAATAATTTTACAGTATAATAATTAATGCAAAACTTTCCATGGAAAATAGATATAGAAATTAAATTAAATTTATAGCACTAAGAGTGAGGGACAATAAAAATTAAATCACAAAGTACAAGTTCAATCGTTATTTTAAATGCGCGCGAGAAGGCCAACGCGCGACATTATCAAGTTGGATTGGTTTCTTTTGAATGCATAATTAATTGCCATTTGATAGATTAATGGTCCTCGTTTCACTAATTTAAAAAAAAAAATCTCACTTTATTCCCCACCTTGAAAAAAGAAATCGAATTCTCATAATTATACGTTGAGAGAAAAAGAAAGATGATTATTTGCAAATTCGTTAAATATAAAAAGAACCATTGAAATAACAAAATACAAATAACAATATAGGAGTACGAAAACAAATTTGTTTTTTAAAAATAACCCGAAAAAAAAGGAGAGAGCAAAAAAATGAAATTAAAATCGTAAATTTTCGCTAGAGACCGAAATTCAATTTCCTTTTTTTTAATTATTAATTTCAATTTCAGTATAGTTAATTATTTTGGATGCAAATTTGTATATGTGTGTGTATATGGTACTTACGTGGAAAGTCTGCTGGTAGCGTGTCTCTCACGTTCTAAAACAAGCAAAAGAGAAACAATTAGCTATTTATAAAAGGAGATAAATCTTTGAAGAAAATTTACATTTGACAGAGAGCAATAAAATTTAAACTGCTTTCAATTACGTACTTTTCATTACGAACAAAAAAAAAATGTTCCTTACGTAAACTTTAATAATAAAAAAGTTTATTAAAAAAAAAAAAGCAAAAATAAAATATTTATATAACAATTACAATTTTTCTTATTTTCTATTATATACAAACGAGGCAAAATCATTTTCAAACTCGATGGATGTTTACTGAACGAAAGTAAGTAAATAAATACAAACAAACAAAATAAATAAATAAATAATAATATAAATAAATAAACAAATAAATAATAATATAAATAAATAAACAAATAAATAATAATAATCATATAAATAAATATAAATTATTGATTCAACTATAATTTTTTTTTGAGTGTAAATTAAATTTTGGTTTAATCAATTAAGTTGAGTTGAACCAATTTTGATAGAGCCAAATAAATTTTTGCTTGATGTAACCAAAATTTGGTTGTTCCAAACAAATTTTTTTCTAACTGTAAATATTTATTTAAATTTGGTTTAATTAAACTGAATTGAGCCAAATATTCAAATTGAGCCAAATAAATATTTAACGGATGCAACCAAAATTCAGTTGTTCCAAACAAATTATTTTTGGGGTATAGATATGTATTTGGTGGTTTCGAACAATTTTTTTTATCAATATTCGATAATAAATAAGTAAACAATTATTTATGTAAATAAATATCGTTTCGATAATACAAGCAACCAATAATTTGAATAAAATCAATTTTACACTACATTAATAAGAGACTTATCATCAGAAGATTATTATTATTATTATTATTATTGTAGATTGAGACATAAGGAAACATTATTGATATCAGAAATTCGCTAATTAGTCTTCGTTGAATCGATTGATGACAGCATACCAAAGATGGTACATACATATATATATATATATACAATATACAGAGTCTAAAACCGAGACGAGGTGTAATTAAGCTAAAATCGGATCGATAGTTTGAAGCCCAGCTTTTAGTTGCTTAATAGCTTTTGGGTATAATTGGATAACAATGAAATATCCATAGGAGTACAGTAATATGTTTTCGCGAATATATATCGTGTGCACAATGCTGCATATAACATTTCAGTCTATGTATATGTGCAAAGAGATACAGTATATATATATATATATATTCAAACTGTATATTTGAAGAGCAAGCACGCAATACCAACCAATCCATTTGACTTACAACCTTGACCACATTACGCATTCCCTTCCTTTTTAATCGACAAACCTAAACACGTATACTATTTATATTCCTGCATTATCTCTCTCTAATTCATTTTTTTTCTATTTAATTGCTCCTTTTTTATTTTATTCCCATCTTTTTTCATAATTGTATTTGCTTTTAATTAGAAAATTTGTACGATTTTGCTGTACAAATCTATATGTAACTTTTTTTTTTATTGTTTCTTCTTTTGCAAAACTAAAAGCACAGAAAATTAAAAGGCTTTAAAATAAGCTGGAACGCTTATTATTTTAATCCAATTTTGTTTATTTTAATCCATTTTGGTATTAAAATAAGTAAAATTGGATTTAAATAATAAGCGTTGCAGCTTATTTTAATGCCTTTTAATTTTCTGTGCTTGAATTTTAAGGTTATGTTTGATCCATGAATCTTAGAGACCTAGGACTTTGAATTTTGAGGTTATGTTTGTTTTAATACTAATATACACAGAAAATTAAAAGGCATTAAAATAAGCTTCAATGCTTATTATTTTAATCCAATTTTGCTTATTTTAATCCATTTTGGTATTAAAATAAGCAAAATTGGATTAAAATAATAAGCGTTGCAGCTTATTTTAATAACTTATAATTTTCCGTAAGACCGTAATTTTTGGGGGCGCATATGATTAACCCATTAAAAATTATTAGTCAGATTTTTGATTTGAAAGAATTCTATTAATTAATCTTAATTAATGATTAATTATTTCGCTATAGTTCAAAAAGAAATGTATTATATAGGATGCTAGCGGATGCTAGTAAAAACTTTTAATCCCAGAGTGTAACCATAACAACACCCTAAAATAGTTGCTGCTGCATCGAAAAAATATATATGAAGCGATATTCCTCTTGAAAAGGTTCATTGATATATAAAAGCGGTTCTACAATGTCGATCAAGTTGTAAGGTTTGGAGTCGCCCCGAGAATACAATGACCCACGATGAAAATAAGAGAGGGGAAAACGGTAGCTATGAGTAACTCGTGCCAGTGGTTATTGCGTAAGCAATAGAACACACATACGCAAATCATGGGAAAAGGGAATATAAAGTCCCGAGAGAGGTCAATTGGTGGATAGTTTTACTTTAAGGTGCCTTACCGTTTACTATATAGTCTCCAAGGGATCTCAGAAGAGAAAAGGAAGTAACAGAAGAAAAAGAAGAAGAAGAGAGATGCAAAGTGTTCACCGAAAACCTGATAGGAAGTCAGTTTAGCCCTTTCTGACATTATAAATTTACTTTAAAAAAAAAACTAGTACTAGTTTTAGAACTAGCTTCGGTGTTAATTCTCCGGTTATTGATTTTTGCCTGTACCGAGAAGGGATGGACTCGTGTCAGGGTGTAGTGAAACGTGACGAGGCACATGAAAAAAGGGGAAGTCCATATTTTAAAAATGCTTCTTCTTCTTTATTTAAAATTAATATTTGCAATTTTGTTATCTTTTTGAACTGTTACACCTGTTTCAGGTTGACAGGAAAATTACTTGATAACACTATCATAAAAAACAATTGTTAAATGTTTACAAAGAAAAAAACTTAATATCTAAAAAACAGGACTTGCCCCACCACTTCGAAGATGCGCGCGCAACTGATTTGCAATTCAGAACATAACCTAAACGTTTCTAAAATCAGATTTTTAAATACAAATTCTACGATCTTTTTGCCAAAAACCTTAAGGAACCTTTTCAACAACTAAAATTAAATACAGTAAAAAAAACGCTAATTGTTTCGGGGAAAATTCTCATCATACCCCTTCCACCGGGGTAATTATAACATTCATCATATAGGAAACAACTTTCAACAGTTCCCACACCATAAGGATTGAAACTTCCGCTTTCAACATGGCGGCTATCTTAGAAGCAAAACTAAGCTCCAGCTAATTGATTATTCAAGACACACGTTTACGTCCAAACTTAATTAATTTTACCATCAGAAGCTTTCAAAACTAGTGTATACAGTAAAATAGCTAACATTGCAAATTGCCGTTAATTTCTTTTCACAAAAAAAAAACAACCACGTGTTTTGTATTTTCTAAATTCTCATGCCCACCTGAGACAAGAAGGTAACTGACGATACCTTGAAGTACCTCGAACTTGGTATACATCTCAAGAGACTCAACCAGGAAACACTAAAAAGTTTCATTGATGCAAACGTATTTTCTTTTGCCTAATTGATTCACTCTAAAAATATTTCCAATTTTTTTCATATCACCAGATTTTGTATTTTTCTGTAAAAATATGGCAAAATAATTATTGCAAAAAAAATGGCGCGCAAACTACAGCGAATGGCTGTATAAATATTGTGTGCATTCGCAAAGACGCGGCTCGGTTGACTGAGACCGGCGAGCTCTACGAACCCCATCGTCGTCGCAGCCCTATGTGTCGATTCTGATGGTGTATACACGACTGCAACTCAGTAAAGTGGTTGTAGTATAAATGCGTGTGGAGTTTTAGCCTGTGTGTTGAACCGGTACGTTGCGTTTCTGTCGGCCTACAGAAGGCACAGAGCCACACAGCGTTCACCTGCGTTCGCCGATGGCTTTGTTGTGCCCCACTCTTTGGTTCTGTGCCTCCTGGTCTTCCTGTGTATCCGAAACGTGTATGTTTGTTCGTCTTGTAGAATATAGAGACTCTAGTAGTTATAAAATCGTCCTCAAGTTGTAGACTTTCTTCTTCTTTTCCTGCTTCTTCTTCTTCTATATTTTTGGGAGAAGGGAAGGTTATAAGGTCACAAATCCAAAAAAGGGGTTCACTTCTAATATAGAATTCTTAATCAATTCCGGTTCTAATGCTGATGTACACGGCACCTTGTGGGAACAAAAAAATAAAAAGAAATCAAGGGCCTACGCACACCTGGCTTCCAGCTTGTCCTGTTTTTTGAGTTTTTCAACAAGGTTAGAATGAGGATATTATACGCGCAATGGCCAGGTGTTTATTGGATATTGCAAAGGTACTTATTGCAATACATATAAGATCGAAGAGATTATATGCCTCCTTGGAATTAGTTTTTAAATGAATATATATATTCTTCGCGAATGTCAATAAAACAGCTGCGAGATAGTTGTTTCATAAAAGGGAAATTTGCCTTAAGGAAACTTCAAAGTTTGTTTAATGATTAACTTGAACAATTTGTATTGTTATGCTTATGCTTTTAAATTTTAATTTTTAGGCAGGGTTTTCTGTACTATTCGAAGTCTTCTGCAAGAACAGATAATTCTGATTTTACATGACCATACTGTTACTGATTCTGATCCAGACAAGGTTTGTAGAATTAGTTGGAAATGCTTCTAAATTTTATTTTTGGGTAGAACTTTCTGTTCTTTTCGAAGTCTTTTGCCGGAACAAATTTTTCTGGTTTTGTAAAGCTATTGTTTCTGATTTTTATTGCTTCCGATGCATCTAGACAAAGGTTTCTAAATACTGGTTATGCTTCTAAATCTTTCTGTTTTAGGCAAAAATTTCTGTATTTTTTAAAGTCTTCTTTTGCTATAACATATTTTTCTGGTTTTGTACAGCCACTGTTTCTGTTTCTGATTGTTTCCGATGCATCCAGACAAGATTTATGAATTCTGGTTATGCTTCTAAATCTTCCTACTTTAGGCCGAAATTTTGTGAACATTTCGAAGTCTTCTTTTGCCAGAACAGATCTTTCTGATTTTGTACAGCCACTGTTTCTGTTTCTGATTGTTT